TTATTTGAATTTGTACATGGTGTGGTTTGTTTTCTGTTGTTGCACTTTTGTGTCGTCCACCGTTATCCCACCTATCGTTTATGCTGAATCAGACCACCGGTCCATCAAAGACTCAGACTAGCAGTGGCTTTCTAGAATTTCTGGCAGAGCTCTTTCGCATCGCCAACTATGCTTAACTGGAGACGTCGGGGATTGAACCCGGGACCTCCTGCATGCAAAGCAGAAGCTCCTCCGGTGAGCCACAGCCGCTCGGCAGGCATGAATGAATCTCAGAAGCATCACTCTTGCCCCAAAAGCATGGCCCAATCCCTGAACACTGAGGGGCAATTCACACTTAACAAAGTCCTTGTCTCCCTCCCCGTAGCTGCCATGAGGAATATTAGTCAGGGGCTTTAAGTCTTCCCCTTGTGCTATTTTCCAGACCTAAAAAGACAAGTTGGCTCATTGAGGGAACTTACATGTGAACTGGCTCTGAGTGTCAAAGAAGAAGCCCAGACCAGACTGATCTCATCAGATCTTGGAAGCTAAGCAAAGTCGGACCTGGTTTGTACTTGGATGGGAGACCTCCAAGGAAGTCCAGGGTTGGTACACAGAGTCAGGCGATGGCAAACCACCCCTGAATGTCTCTTTCCTTGAAAACCCCACGAGGAGTCACCATAAGTTGGCTGTGGTTTGACAGCACTTAATTATTGTTATCAAAGAGGGAAACAGGATACTGAGAGTATGTATTAACTAAGCTATGACATAAACCTTTTTGCTAAGAGAGCGCTTTCCCCTTTTTTTAAAAAAAAAAAAAACCTGGTGAAGATACACCGTTATGTAACTCTTTTGTGCGCAAGAACAAAGTGTCCCTGTGATTTGAGTCCTGAAACAACTGTGGCTGGCAAAACCTAGCTTACAAAGATGAAACCTAGGTTACAAAGACGGGGGTGCAGAAGATAAAGTTTCTGACCACAGCTGCCATCTTTTTGCCCAGCTGTGGCTGAGCATATGGCCTCTTTTATTAGTAGTAATATAGAATATGTACAGAATCAAATTACAACATTGTGTACCAAAGATTTAAAAATACAAATAATAGGCTACAAGATCTAAAAACCAATAACAAAACCCAACCTAACCTCATAGCAAAGGGTTCCCAAAAAGTAGTCAACCCTGTGGCTTCCGTTGTCGTGTACCCGAGGTCACCTGCTGACCACCAGTCCAGACACAGGGAGTATGCAGGTTTGCCAGGTTTTTTGCTGTCCAGACTGTTGTTCATCTTTCACCATGGAGTTAAACTGAGAAGAATGGATTCGTTCTTCAATTTCAACACAAGGGGCTTCCTTGCATCCTCATTTTCCTTCCTTGTAAGTTCCTGTTTCGTCGGGACTTTTTTTGTGCGTTCTGCACACGTTTTGCTCCCTCTAGTGGTCTGTCTGATATTACACGGTATATATACGGCGTATCTCCCTGCAGATTTAAACCACAGGTTTTTGTGCCAGACATAAACGGGTATAATATGGAGTCGGCCACTAGAGGGAGCATAACGTGCATGGAACAGACATACCACCCCACCCCGAAAAAACAGGAGCTTACAAGCGAGGAAAATGAGGATGCGGGAAAGTTCAAGGACAGGAACAAGTCTCTTTTTTTTTAAGCCAGAAACCCAAGTATTGTAATTATTTTTTTAATGATACATTAGAAAATAGATTCAGGTCAGCACCAATACAAAGTGGGCCCAAACTGGCCAGTGTTATCCCTGTGATTACAATGGAAGAATGATGCGTCGTTTTAGGCTGGATCATGGCCTTTTGTGAAATATGAAAAAGGGGTTGCCCTTCCAATAAGCCAACAAAAAGAAGTAGTACCCAGCTTCAAAGAGAGACAGCAATGAAAATGGAGACCTGTTGAATAATCCGATAACCAGAAAATAGCAATTAAAAATATAGTGAAAATAGCCTAAACAGAACAAAAAAATCACATCATGTCCAATATCTCAATATAAAAAAGGGTATAACAAATATATCACAAACCTTGAATTTTTGAAAGGAAGTATGGAATATTCCTACTCATCTGTTTTATGGGGGTGTTGTTATAAAAGCTTTTCAACATATGGGTTGGTCATATTAAGGCGACAGAAGAAAAGACAGGAACATGATTTGGATCGGAGGAAATCAAAACTACTTCCTGGCAGACATCATTAAGTTGCATGATCATTCCAGTTCTTCTACATAAGGTCTTTTCGTGGTGGTTCGTTGATGACATTGTGCCTGTGTTCTTTAATATATATTTTCTTGTGGTACGTTATATGAATATTGAGATATTAGATGTAATGTGATTCCCCCCCCCCCCCCGTTAGTGCTATTTTCATCATGTTCTTAGTTTTTGTTTTGTGGACATCAGTTGGACTATTCATCATTTCTCCACTTTCCCTGTGTCTCCCCCTCATACTCGGGTACTTCTTTTGGGGGCTTTTTTGGAATGTGACATAGACGGCAATGCAGCAAGAATGAGAAGCAGGGCGTTTAAGCGTCTGGTTGGAAGAAATGGGGAGTGTAATGCAGAGAGCATAAACAACATCGTTGCGTGGTAGTACGTGAACCCTTTTTGGAGGGAGAGGTTGGAAGTAATATCACCTATAAGGGAAATTGCAAGGTATCATTCACCATTATATCCTCAATAGATACCATTAGGCTATCTAAAGTGGAAAGTAAAAGGCAAGGTAATCTTGAATCATTTCTTTTCTTACCAAAATAGATATTCTTCATAAATGGAAGGAACTCCTCAAGGTTAAAAACTAGTTAACTCGTTCCCAAAACAAGTTAATTGGCTGGACAGACCTGATCAGGGTATGGCCGCAACCAGATCAGAGTTAGGTAGTCAGCCGTGTTTGGTTTGAAGCAGTAGAACAGATTTAGAGTCCAGCAGGGCACCTTTAAGACCAACAAAGGTTTATTCGAGGTATGAGCACACGAAAGCTCATCCCTTGAATAAACCTTTGTTGGTCTTAAAGGTGCCACTGGACTCTAAATTTGTTCTACCAGATCAAAGTGTCAGACTAGAATCTGGAGACCCAGGTTCGAATCCCCACTCTGCTGTGGAAGCTTGCTGGGTGACCTTGGGCCAGTCCCTCGACTCTAGGACAGGGATAAAATGGAGGAGAGGAGAACCGTGTAAGGTGCTTTGGGACCCCGCTGGGTGAGGAAGGCGAGTTATGAATGATATAGAAACCCATAGCATTTGATCAGCAAAAAACAAATGAAATCATTACATGGTGAGTTTTCCTACTCCCACAAGTACCGGCTTCAGAGGGCAGCCGTGTTAGTCTGCAGTAGAGAAAGCTGGACCTGACTCCAGTGGCACCTTAGAGACCAGCACAGGGTACGAGCTTTCAAGTGTCAAAACTCTGACTTTCAAAAGCTCATACCCCAACTACGGTGTGGGTTTCTAAGGTGCTACCTGTAGTGACCTTGTAGGGTCTTCAAGGGACGAGCTGAGCAGAGGTGGCTTTGCCATCGCCTGCCTCTGCGTAGCAACCCTGGCCTTCCTCGGTGGTCTCCCATCCAAATACTAACAAAGGGGGGGACCCTACTTCTCTTCCAAGATTAGGCAAGATCGGGCTATCTTGGACCATCCAGGTCAGGGTGTGAAGCCTCTAGTCCAGGGGTGTCAAACATGCGGCCGGGGGGCCAGATTGGGTCCCCGGAGGGCTTCCATCAGGCCCACAGTGGAACTGGCCATCTTCTGCTTCCAGTTCTGCTGCTGCCAGAGAGAGAGCCAGTTTGGTGTAGTGGTTAAGTGTTTGGACTCTAATCTGGGAGACCCGGGTTTGATTCCCCACTCCTCCACTGGCACCTGGCTGGATGACCTTGGGCAAGCCGTAGTTCTGACAAGAGGTGTTCTTGAAAAAGAGCAGTTTCTGTCAAGAGCTCTCTCAGCCCCACCTGCCTCACAGGGTGTCTGTTGTGGGGAGGGGGAGGGAAAAGAGGTTGTAAGGCGCTCTGAGAAACCTTTGGGTAGTGAAGGGTGGGGCATAAATCCAATCTCCTCTTCTTCTTGCTGCTGCATCATAGCTTGCTTCGCCAGACTCTCTTAATCACTCAGCCAGTTCATGTTTTAACCTGGGTCCTAGACTCAGAACTCTGAGCATGAGATTTCTGTGGTGAATGTCAATAAATCAAAAGTAGATTTGAAGCTTACAGCACTAAAGCATATTTTTATTTTAAGTAAAAAAACACACTTTGTGTTTGTGTCCTCTATAAAGTTTATATCTCCGCTACCTGGCATTAAATTTTATGACACACAACAAGGTCTCATTTATGTCAGATCCGGCCCTCATAACAAATGAGTTCGACTCCCCTGCTCTAGTCTCAAAATACATTTTGAGTGTTCGGCAGTGTGAAATTTTTGCACGTTGTCTTTTCGAGATCGTTGAAGAAAACCTTGAAAGGGGGGGGGGGACCCAGAAAAAATATTTCTTCGAGAATCATTTCGTAACCCTGAGGATGCCGGCCGATTCTTATCTAATAAAATAGTGTGGGTATTTAATTTGCAACAGTTGAAAGACAGTCAGAAACTACTTCCAATATTCACACCTGGTATTCATTGCACTTAGCAAAATCTCACTGTAGTCCTTCTGGGAGTGTACCATTTTGGCATGCAGGGTGGGCAAAGGGGCTACTGGACTCACATCAAGTTGGGCTTTGTTTTTAAGCCGTGATGCAGCAGGAAGTTGCCCGGGGCACCAGTTTTGGCAGTCCCCTGTACATCCGTGCCTAGCTTCAAAAATGAGCCTTTCCCTCTCGGTTGGATGAATAGGGGCATGTTGAGAAAAGGGGGATGTTGACCTATCTTATCAGGACTTGGTGGCTTCAGTCTGTTTCTCTGTGGTCTTGATTTTAAACATGCCACCCTCTATTGCCATTCGGTTCTTGGACTTCCTCCTGCAACCGCTGACCAATGTTCTCAGCAGGCCAACAGCAGACTGTGCGTTAACCCCGCGTCTCTCTCCCTCTTTGCAGTTCAATTTCGCCGTTCAGCATCGAGAGCACAAGACGCCAGAGAAGGTCCGAGTCCCCCGACTCCAGAAAGCGCCGCATCCACCGGTGTGACTTCGAAGGATGCAACAAGGTGTACACGAAAAGCTCCCACCTGAAGGCTCACCGGAGGACGCACACAGGTGAGATCTTGGTTGGGGCCTCGCGTGACATTCACACCAGCGATGGCGCGGCCTCTTGGGGAGCAGCTATTGGTCGGAGTTGTGGAACTGCACAGTTAGCGTTAATGAGCCTTGGTGACTGTGTGACATTCTGTGATTATTTTCGACACGTAGTTCAGAAAATCAGAGGCACTGCCAGACTTCTGTAAAATGCGTTACTGTGGGTAATCCTAAAGACTTCTGTAAAATACGTTACTGTGGGTAATCCTAAGGCCAGAGGTGCTCCCCTTAATTGAAGCTAGGTCCAGGTGGGGCAGCCGCGTTGGTCTGAAGCCGTAGAACAAATTTAGAGTCCGGTGGCACCTTTAAGACCAACAAAGTCTTAGTCAAGGCAGGGGTCATTTCCTGCAGGAGCACACAGGAGCGGAGCTCCGGCAGTAAAGAGCCCATGGGGCTGGCACATGCAACAAGCCCCACCCCCTGCTCCCAGCAGCCCTCAGTCAGAGCAAGAAGCAGCCAGGTAAGCTGCAGAGCCACCCCCCCGGCCCCCCAGTCCAAAACAGTCCAGTGGCACCTTTAAGACCAGGTTTTATTCAGGTACAAGCTCCCTCTCCTTTGCAAGGACAGATCTGCACGTTCCCCCCCCCCCCCAATAGCCAGCACACCAAAACCGTC